GGTGTATTTTAATATGATGGATCTTAACTCACATTTATGTTACATATATTCGTTTGTATATATTAAATACAACATAATTTTATATAAAAATTTATTGCCCAAGTGCACTCTTCAGTGTGTTTCAGATTTTATCTTGGTGTGGGAGGTATTGTATTTCTAATCTTATCAGGAAAGATGTTAGACAGTGATTCATGTCCTTTCCCAGCAGACATTCCATTCCAGTTAACATTAACTAAGTGCCTACACATCCATTATGTCTTTTAATACTAACAGCAACCCATAAAATGTCAATGGACACTTTTTCACAACCATGGAAAAGAAAGTTAGGTTTATGAGCTAATCCGTCCTGTTCTCTTAGAAACCTAGAGTAGACAGGTACCTTCTTTCATACGCCATCTGTTTCGTTTGCCATTAATTACAGCATCACAGAATTATATAATGTTGTAAGTCAGTATGTGTATATTTTACAAATGAAGAAACTGAGTATCAGTCAAGTCACTTAGAGTCAGATGTCTTTTCTACTTTCAAAGAGCTCGAGTAAAAAAGTTCACATCTTTCCTTATACCTATTCTGAAATTCAATAAACTGCAAAGCAGAATTTTCTGGTTTCTCATACTGACATTAACAAGCCTTTAAGTTGAAATAATTTGTAAACTTTCAAATGAAGAATTTTTGACAGTATCGGGCTATATTTTAAGGCAGAGCTTGAATTCTTTATTTCATTTTTCACAAACTCACATTTAAAGGAAATTTTGTGTGGAAAATGATGTTGAATCCTCATTTCTTCATTTAACAAATTTGTTTAGGACATTTATAATATGAAAGGTAGGCACCAAAAGACAACACTAACTTTTAAACTTTTTAAAATTTCCATTTTGAAATAATTTCATATTTACAAAAAAGTTGCAAAAATAGTGCAAGTAGTTCCCATATACTCTTTACCAGATTCCTCAAATTTACCAAAGTAAAATTGTAAAAATCAGGAAGTTAACATTGATATGATATTATTATCTAACCAAAAGATCATACTCAAATTTCTGGGAGCCAATTCATGGTTACATTATGTACTTAAGTTTTATATCTCATTAGTATCCTTTAATTTGAAACAGTTTTTTAAGTCTTTCATTATCCTTCATGACCTTGGCACTTTAAAAAAGTATGGGCCAGTTATTTTGTAGGATGTTCTTTACCTTGGATTTGCCTGATGTTTCCTCATGATTAAATTCAAGTTGTGTAACAATAACACATAAGTGATCTTATGTCTTTCTCATTCATCATATCAGGAGCACACGATATCAATTTGTTCCATTACTGGTAATGTCAACTTTGATCATTTGATTAAGGTGGTGTCTGCCAAGTTTCTCTAATGTAAAGTTACTATTTTCCCTTTGTAATTAATGAATATCTTGAGAAGAGATACTCTGAGACAACATGAAAACCCAGTTGTTTATTATATTTTGCCCACTAATTTTACTGTCCATTGGTGATTTTTGCCTGAAACAATTATTACTGTGGTATTTGAAAAGTGGTGATCATCTAATTTCATTATTCCTTCATATCTTGGCTGGAATTCTGTTGTGAAGAAGAGCCTTTCCTTATCCCCCATTTATTTATTCATTTAAAAATTTTGTCATTATGGACTCTTGGATGCCTTTTTCATTCTATGGTTAACAGTCCATTACTATCATTATTTATTTTGTTGTTTAGATTATCTCAGTATTGGCCATTGGGAGCCACTTCATGTTTGCTCCTGTGTCCTTTTATTATGTCTGTATTACTTTTTGAGCATCTGCTTAATTTCTGACACCACAGTGTTTCAGGATTATCTTGTACTTTCCCTGCTACAGCACTGAAGTAAACCATTTCTCGAAGGAACCTTGGTGAGAGAACACTGTAGACTGAATTCAAAACTTTTGGTATTGCCCAGAGAAGCTAAAATCATTCAAGTACTGTGGAGGTATTTGTTGTTCCATGTACCAACAAAATTGTCAGTACAACTTTTTAGAATATTGTAATATAAGGCTGGGTCTACAAAAGTAATGATGTGGTTGGAAAAAAACCCAACTTTTGGCATATCAGGAAAAATAGCCATCTGGTTCCAGTGAATCCTTTTTATTTACAGAAGTAAGAATAAAGAGATAGTGAAAATAACAAAATAAGAATTTAAAATGTAGCAAACAAAATTTTTGTTTTGTATTTTCCTGGTTTGGGAGGTATATGTAACCTGAAGTGGGCGATGCCTTTGAATGCAATTAACTGTTCATCACTTGTCATATATGAACCTGGAACATATTCATGTCATAAATGTTGATTCCATATACTAATTATCCAGATTTGAGTATCACATATTGCAGACAGTTATTGATATTCATCTCTGTACCCCACAGATATGTACAATCAACTACGTTCCAATAAAAATAATAATTGATGCTGATTCCAGATTTTGAACACATCTCTAATAGGTTACAGCTTATTATCACTTCTGGTTCTTCTAGCATGTACATTATTATCACAGTGTAATATTTTTGAAAAGTATAAAGGCTCATAATTTTGTAGAAAAGAAGATGGCCATTTTTTTCTTTCGTAATTACAAAAATATTTTCATTTTTAGTTATATAAATGTAAATTTGATCAGCCCAATGAATTTTTTTTATTTCTACATAATTTAGTCCTTCCATTAACCTTTATTTATATATACCTACCTTTAGCATTTGCCCACTTATAAGGGTACTTCAAAATGCTTGTGGAAAAAATAGAGTTAAAAGATGACACAAATCTTTCCATGAGCTTTTTGAAAATCCCTTACATGAAGCATATCAAGTAAATTTTTAACCACAAATACCATAAAAGATAAAGAATGGTCACACGTCCTTTTACAGGATGGTGCAGATTCTTGTTGCAAAATATTAAATAATGAAGTCCTTCCTGTTGAATGACTAATGGGTTAGAATATTGTATTTACATTTAGTCTTTATAAATATACTTGTTTACTCTTCAATTCTTGATGATATACCAAAGGTTAAGAAGTTTGATTTGGGCATATAGTAAGTAGAAGAAATAAGGAATATTGGTAAGACCTCTTTTTCCTTAAACCTGGTAAAACCCCAGAAGTGAATCCTTAATGAAACTAATCCTCTTAATTTTCTCCTTTTGTTTCCTGGAGATTATCTTGTGTTTCAAAGGAGTATGCAGATATGAGGAGCTATGGGCTGTGAGAAAATTTGTTAAATGGAATAAAAAGAAAACTACAGTAGGAGTCCAAGAACTATAAACTTTAGTTCAGGCTTGGACATTAACTAGTTCTATTTCTTTGAGCCGAATAATCCTGAAAACGGTGTATAGTGGAAAGAACAGTAGCCTTTAAATCAGAGCCAAAATTAGAACCTGCTTCTTTGTACTCAACCTGCCTGCTTCTGAAGTTTCTCATCCTTAATAGAGATAATAAAATCCTGCTTCACAGGGTTGTTGTATTGAGTGAACTGCTAGAGACTATAAGGCACTCAAGGGCTGGAACTCTCTTAATCATCTTTTCCTTTCCCGTGTCTAGAAGGATCTGAGTATTTATTTGGTGAATGAATACATTATATTAAGCATGTTTATAAACTGCATATTATAAACTGGAAAATGTTATACAACTTCAGGGTCATTGTGTTTGTGCTCAGTACATTTGTATTAAGTGCTATACAAATTTAATGTTTTTTCTTTCTCTACATTTTAAAAAACCTTTAGGAAAAGAAGACTCTAGTTTAATTAGTGCCTCCTTCCACATAGGCTCATTGTTTTATCAAATCAAGGAAAAAATATGAAAGGAAAGCTTTGGGACATTTTCTCATATTTGGTATTTAAAAGTGCAGATTTATACTTATTTAACCACTGGTTTGTTAGTTCAGAAATTTTCATTGTGTGCCATAAATTTTATAGAGTAAAACATATTTGTGTGTTGTTTGTGTTTTCATAGTCCAAAAATATTAGTTTGGGCTTCTTTCTCAATTTCAGTAAAATTTTAAAAAATCTCTTTGTGTCTTTTCCCTTCTCCTCTTTTTTTTGTCTTTTTTTTTTTTTTTTTTTTCCGTGTCTGGCAACGGATCGCAACCCTCAGTGTCGCCCCCGTACCGGACCGGGACCGGCAACGGGATCGCAGCCCTCGGTGTTGCTCCCGTGCCTCGCTCAGCCAGTGAGCGGGAACCGGTCTGTATGTGGGATCCGAACCCTCGGTGGGAGCACCGCCGCGCTTCCCAAGCGGCGCACTATAGCAGTGCGCCACCAGGCCGGCCCCTTCCCTTCTCCTTTAACTCATTTATTACAAATAAATATTATGAGAAATTGATTTGAATAATTTCTTAAATAATTAGTCTCTTTGCAATTTTAGTATAATCTTCATGTCATATAAGGAAACCAAGCCTCTTAAGAAATCCTAGAAAGACCAATTTGAAAGTTATAGCCCTTTTTCTTTTGCTAAGTCACTTAGCCTACCCAGAAAAGGGAAAGAAATCTAACTTGGATTTTCACATGTAACTTTTTAAAGTTACTAGTTAATTTGATCAGACTCATTGTTCAGGTCAGGATCTGACTTGAATGCTTATTCCAACTCCATTCAAGTTTCCTTGAGAAGACACTTAGGCCCCTTATGAATATTGGCCAGAACTTGAACTATCAAGAACTATTTTCTTAGCTTCAGTGTGTGGTTTGTATGTATGTTAGACTCTCTGTCCTCCCATCCTTATTTGTCTCTCTAATTAGATGACGGGTTCACTAACTGTAAGAACTATATTTAGTCTTTGGATGACATTGAAGCAAAAATATACTAGAGGAAATTCCTGAATTAGCTGGACTATATACTGTTTAAAGTCTCTTGCAACACTTCAAATTCTATACTTTTATTATATTGCAGCAAGCATACAGAACAAATATTATTACTATGGTTCTTCCATAACACTTGATCATTGACTAGTTTCTTATCCCCTGTGTCACAGATCTCATTCTGTTGTCTGCTCCCTTAGATCTTTATTAACAATGAGTGGCAGAACTCAGAGAGCGGGAAAGTGTTCCCTGTCTATAATCCAGCCACAGGAGAACAAGTTTGTGAAGTTCAAGAAGCAGACAAGGTACGTCTTTCTTAGAAAAAGATTCCCTGTGAAATAACTACCTTCTAACAGCAGAGCAGTAAACAAATGCTCTCCAGGCACCATCACTTTGTATTTCACAAAGTGAAATTTCATGTTCATGCATCACTCTGTATTTGGTGTGTTTCTCTCTCTTCAGTGTGCTTCTTCCTCTCTAACAGGCAGATGTAGACAAAGCAGTACAGGCAGCCCGCCTGGCTTTCTCTCTTGGTTCAGTATGGAGAAGGATGGATGCTTCAGAAAGAGGACGTCTGTTGGATAAGCTTGCAGACTTGGTGGAACGAGACAGGGCAGTTCTTGCAGTAAGTAACCTGAGAACACATTAAGTCTTTACCCCAAATTTACCATCCCACTGAAATTTAGATTCCTCAGTCTTTTTGAAAGTATGCTGTGAAGCACATCTGGGGAAAAAACTAAGGAATGCATAATACACATGAAAAATGAGAGATGTTTGGATATTGGAATCAGATGGGGAAGTAGAAGATCAGCTGAGTGTCTCTTCTCACTGAAATTTGAAGGAAAAAATCATAGCCCTTCCTCAGTTTCCCTTCTACCATCCACTTTAGAGATCTGTTCACAGTATGGAAACAAAAATGATTCCTTTATGGAGATAGTTTGAAACTCTACGTTTATATAATATTTATTTATCTGTAAAAGCATTTTCTAATCTGGCACTCAAGGGAATACTGTTCCAACAAAGTATTTATGGATATTGTAAAAAAGGTGAGATAGTTCCTTCTTGGAGAGTCACAAGTTGCTAAGCATATTAAAGGCCCTGAAAAGGCCTACTCAGTGTTTTTTAATCTTATTTGAGCCTCAACACTATTTTTTTGGCTAACCTACCACCATCATGCAATACTGAGTTCTTTGGAGAATGCTAGTCTATATGTTTGTCTCTTCAGTGGATTATAATTTCCTTGAAAACAAAATTATCTTTTACTTCTTTTTTTTGTAATCCTAGCACATTTTCTGGCACATAGATGGCAAATGAGGGCATGTACAAGGGTATTTCAGAAAATTTATGGAAAAATAGAACGAGAAGGTAATACAAATATTTCCATGAACTTATTGAAGTACCCTTGTAGATGATCAATAAATGTCTGTTTAATTGAGTTAAATACATATAATATTTACAATATTGGAATAGCAATATGTACTAGAAGATGATACAGTTCATTTCTGCAGTTATATTTTCATATTGTAAAACTCAAATGCCTTATTTTTTTTTCTGCTGTACGTCTCACTGTGATCAAGTCTGTTTTCCTACCACACCTAAATGAGATTCCTACTTTTAAATTTCCAAGCAATGAGAGAAGAGAGGTAAGAGGTAGCCTCTGGAATAAAGGGGAGCTTCTGACCAGAAAACTGGAGTTAATACTTCATCCAAACTAAGCACAATTGAAAGTAAACCTAGGGATGGCAATTCTCAGGTATATTTGACTGGTGTCAACAACTCATAGGAACCATTTAGGTGGCCTAGATTCTGGTTATTGATTCTACTTCACTCTACACTATGTAGACGTTGGCTCTATGATAGCTGCATAGAGAATGTAATGCTCATCTTATGAGCATATTAATGTTCTAAAAAGTGTTGGGAAATTATTTAATTCCTTTTAATAAATGTGAGCCAATATATCATAAGTAATATAACATGTTAAAATGAGTTCCACTTTGTACATGTAGTAAGTAGATAAATTGCACTGTAAGTAAGAGTATTTTTATTTCATTGAATGGACAATATTTTAATTTTAGCTTTGTCAGCTAAAAATAATTTTCATGCCAATATGTTATAAAATGTCCTTATAGGAAAAAAATGAAATTACAGGCATGTATTTTTATTTCATTTGTTAAACTTGTAACACCTTTAATATTTCTCAAGTCAATATACTTTTTTCTCATTTCAGTGTGTTCATTTTTCATTGTTTTTGTTACACTTAACCAGTTTAGAAACATGTCATTAAATTAATAATGTTTGTAATGTAAAACTGCTTAATATTGCTATTTTTATTAAATGAACCAGATACTTCACTCTTAATAGATAACGGTTGTTAACATAAATGTTTTCAAAAAACCAGCCTTCAAGTTGTTAATGTCTGGGCTTCCCTAGAGGAGATCTTGTTTATTTGATGGTAATAAATAAACTCGCCATGCATCGTGGATATTCCATTTCTCAGCAGGAATCTTGGCAGCTGTAGAGAACGTTTTATATTCTCATCAGTTGCATAAAGAGCTCATGTCTTCAGTCTTCTTTATGGATTCAGAGTACTCGTGTAGACTTCAAAAAATCCTCATTCAGCTCTAATCATTAATATAACAGAACCTGGTTTGACAAGCAGAACATTTCCTTATCATCAGTTGAAGAAATGTTGTGTATTTGGATAGTGGTTACCAGAAACACACCGGCACAAGAACGTGCCCAAATATTCTCAATGTGGTTTTTACTAGAAACTAAACCAAACTGGCAGTACTAGAAATCTTTTTATTTGGGAAATCAGAGTTGGCCAGGTATGTATCACCGCTCATATTTATTTGTATTCTCTCTCTTCCTTTTTTCTTCTGCTCCAGAAATTATTTAGTGTATCACCAGAAAGTTCTGGGGACTTAATTCCTCTCCATTTATTTTCCTGCAGACCATGGAATCCCTAAATGGTGGCAAACCATTCCTGCAAGCTTTTTATGTGGATTTGCAGGGCGTCATCAAAACCCTTCGGTATTACGCAGGCTGGGCTGATAAAATTCATGGGATGACCATTCCTGTAGGTATGTGAAATCTGAATATGTTGAAAAGGGAAACATGAGGCTCCACTAGGAACACACGTTTACCACCAAACAAACAGTAGTCACATAGAATACAGATAAGAGCACATTTATAGCAACTTGAACTAAGCAAAGAACTAAACAAATTATGTCACTAACTCTGACAATGTTCCTTTTTCTCTATATAGGTTTTTCCACATACGAGTCCACATATAAGTGTAGGGACAAGTCACTTAAATCAATACATCATTCAACTAAGAAACATGTACTTATTTGTCAGCTACTAAGTGCTTAGCTCTGTGCTAGGTTAGGTGCTGGGGTTATGGAGGGCACTGGGTAGGGTGAAGTCAGAGAAAATTGCCAAGAAGATTAAGACTTGATCCTTGCCCTACTGAAACATGAGATCTAGTCTTTAGAAGGAAATATTCTGAAATAATAACAGGTATCATCTGTGAGTGGTGAGATTATGGATAACTTTTAGCTTCTCTTTTATATTTTTCTCTTTTATATTTCTTATAATGACCATGAATTGCTTTCACAATCTGTAAAAACAACAATAACCCTGACCCTTTTATTTTTTATTATTAAGACCCAGGTCAGAAGACAAAACAAACAACACAAAACAATTAAAGGTCTCTACAGGAGAGTTATAATTAGACGCTAAGTTGTGTGGTTTGGCCTGTTGGTGTTGTAGCCCTTTAAAGGAGAGGGAAAATATCCCCAACTAAAGTAGTTGGTAGAGCGGTCTTGATCTGAGCTTGAATACTAGTGATAGCTAATACCAGTTGAGTGCTTTCATAGCAACCCCAAGAGGAAGGCATTATTAACATCCTTAGTGAACAGAGGAGGAAACGGAAGCCTAGAGAAGTTAAGTATTTTCCTAATTCATACAGCAAATAAGTTTTAGAGCTAAAATTTTGACATTAAAGCCTCGGCTCTTAATCACTTCACTAGAAGATCCAAACTAGATACTGAGAGGAAGAGAAATCATTACAGGAAAGGGACAGACTGAAAGGGATATGAGGATGTAGGGAACAATGAGTAGACATAAGGAAAGAAAATCATGTTTATTGAGTGGATATTGGATGCTGCTAAGTCCTGTGCCAGGTACTTTACCTGTGTTCTCTGGAGGTCTGCTTTCTCATGGAGAATGCATACTAGCAAGAGTGGAAAGTAATGCTGGATGCTTTGATGTGCCCCTGGTAGGCCCTTCCTAGCCAGGCTGAGTAGTGTGAATTTATCAGAAAAGGGAGTGGTTTGGCTGATAGTGTGGGTGGCTTAGAGCGTGTATCTCAAACTTTAATGTGCATATGAACCACCAGAATCTTCTTCAAGTGCAGTTTCTGATTGAATAGGTCTGGGGTGGAGCCTGAGATTCTGCATTCCTGACCAGCTGCTATATGATGCTTATTCTGTGGTCCTCTGCATTGAGTAGCAAGGAGAGGATACAGAGAACAGCACCAAGCCAAGTGGCTGTCTTGATACCTCATCTACACATGGGGTAAGAAGGGAAGAAGTCATAGTGAGAGTGGAGAAGAGATAGAGACAAGACTTCAAAGGACTATTTTAAAATTACCCTCATGAATGATGATGACGTGTGGAATGCTAGTCTTTTGAAAATGGGTTTCTGATTATAGGCACTCTTCCCCACCACGCAGAGGTTTCCATTCATCAACAGACTCAGAAGAATGGAACAGATTGCTCTTGGGGAGTGTCAGAATCTTAGTTCAGTCCTGGCTTTAAGGTTATTACAGAAATACTGTTTTGCAGCATCATTTGCTGGATTTGAGGATGGCCTAAGTGAGGCAGGGTCACTATTTGTTATAGGCATATCTGTTGGAGGATCTGAGAATTAAAACCTTTATCTAAACAGGACATGTGTTGGCCTTTTTAAATTGGCTTTTCCTATTTCAATACAGAAGGGTAAATTAACAAGATCAAAGGCCCTAGTTTTTTTTGCCCCCCCCCCCCGGCCTTTTCACTATTAAAACAACAAATATGGTTCAGGCATTTAAATACCTTTTCAAATTATTCACAAATATCTTAAGAATCAGGTGAAACAGAAGGCTATACACATAGATCTCTATTTGGCCTAGCAGTGTTATGGTTTTATTTTTTACTTCCTCAGGAGGGAAGACTCTGATGAGATAAAGATTTATTGGAGTCTCTGATAATGTTTGATGCTTTAATGTGACTTTATCTGGCAATAGAGGTGGTTGGTCCATAAACCGCACTGTTTTTATCTGATGCTGTTTGGAGATCCTGAGGATGCTGACCTAGGAGTTAGAAATATAGAATTTAGAAAGGCTGTCACAATAGTCTTTCCCACCTTTACTCATTAAAGTGAAGGGGAAAAAATAAGACATTTTCTTAAACATGAAGTGATTTTTTGTTTCCCCAGGTTTTTTTAAAGTGCATTTGGAGAGATGCTGGGATGAGGGACTCTCCCAAGGGTCAGGTCCATAGGCAGAGCTCTTAGGAGGCTGGGGTTTGGGTTATAAGAGCTCTCACCATGTTCCTCAAACAGTTGAGGGAAGGATGGAGGCAAAGGTAAACTTGGCAGATTTCCTCTCTGTTCAGTTTTCCATACATTTGGGCTTCTTGCCTAGAGGCTACTGAGAATTCAGCTAACAGTACCCTTGGCTAGTCTAGTACTTAGTGAATCTAGCTGCACTAAACTAGGGGGTTCATAGGAGAAGATCAGGGGGAGGGGGCGGTGTCGTAATTATTCACTTATTTATTCTCAGACTACTTGTTCAGTCATTCAATCCATTTATGTTTATTTGTCATTTGTGACTCCAGTATTTAACATCAGCTTGATTTTGTCTGTATACTTGGCTTTGTCCCACAAAATCTTTGTCCCACAGATTACCACAGTGAAATCTGGAATATAGAAAGGCTATTAGCCTTTAACCATGAGGTCTTCATTGTGTTAATTGCATTTCCCTGCAAAACATCCTAATTTTATGTTTGGATTTATAACATAAAGGAATAATGTAGTTTATATTTGCATAGTACTTGAGAGTGTAAAATGTTCTTTCACATACATGATCTAAGTGACGCTGTGTGTGATACAGTGAGAAGGGCTGGCTAGTTAGGTCAGTTGGTTAGAGCACAGCCTTATAATAACACCAAAGTTAAGAACTTAGATTCCCATACCGGCCAACTGCAAAAAAAGATACAGTGAGATAGGCTGGATTTTAAAAACGTATTATACTCATTTTACAGGTAAGAACATGAGAAAGTAAGGGTTTAGTATCTCAAACCAAGACATGTGGCTAGTAAATGGCAGGCCTGAAATCCAACTCAAGTCTCTTTCTGCCTGAGCCACTGTAAACCCTCTTCTCATGGAGACTGGTTCATCAGGGCAGGAAAGTAAAGAGGCCAGTTGCCCTGGTGAAATCTTAATCCTTTGAAGATTTTCAGATTAAAATACAGTTGATTCTTATGTTATTCTTATTTTCATGTATTTATGTTCTGTAAAGTTGTCATGGACACTGAATTAGTGAATACTGAACTATTGCTCCCAGGGAAACTACAGGGTTAGGTTCCTGTGAGCCTCTGGTCACATTTTTGTCAACCAATCAGAATATGACCTCATTATATGTGTGTTTCTGTTGAAAGACCGTTGGTTTAACGTGTATTGTTGATTTATGAACATGGAACTCATGGCCAACCAACCAACAGCACTATAACTCATGCCTGAAGGAAACTTGTCTAACATACATATTTTCTCTGTAAGGCCTTCTTTTGCTTAGGAACACCAGACAGCACTTTAGCACTAAGCATAAAAGCCATTTTAAACAGTAAAATCATAAGCAAAAGGAACAGAAAACATGAAAAATGTGACAGCAAATAGACCAAAAAAAGTACATCTTTTTAATAGTATAAGAGCTATAACAAGAAAGCAGAGTGTCACCTTGTTCAACATCAGCTGAGAACGTGTACCTTGGGCGAGCATCAGCTGAGAATGTGCGCCTAGGACAAGTATCGGCTGAGAATGTGCGCCTAGGACAAGTATCAGCTGAGAACGTGTGCCTTGGGCAAGCATCAGTTGAGAACGTGTGCCTTGGGCAAGCATCAGTTGAGAACGTGTGCCTTGGGTAACTCAAATTTTTCCCTGTTCTGCATGTACATGCCTGCAAATAACTGTGAAAGTGCTGCACATATTGATTTTGGGATTACAAATAAATTTCAGTGAGTAGGCAAATTCTCAAGTACAAAATCCACACATAACGAAGATTGTGTCTAGCACCTAGTTTTCTCAACATAACATTTATGAATCTTGACTGTTCTGGGACACTTAAGGTTGTAGACCTCCCTGCCTAGATCATATGGGCGAAGGAGGCTTTTGTAGTGAGTATCAAGAGTGAAAGCTCACAGGTCTGTCTGGTAGTCCATAAAAAATAACCTGAAAGGTTTTTGTTTCTTTTTAAATTTTAAGATATAATACTACTTTGCTTTGCTACATTGAATCATAACTCTATGGTTCATCCAGCTTAGCATCTCTGACAGGAAAGGATAAGAACCAAAAAGAGTTGGATGAATTATGCTATTGTCTCTGTCACTCCTTCCCACTTAGCAAGGCTTGGGCTAGGTACCATGTAATGGGAAGAGCTCTTCCTTTACCTCTTTTACCAGGTATCGACTTCAACCTTTCATTCATTCACTCATTAGTTCATACATTATCATTCAACAGCTTTTTTTTGAGCACCTCTTATGTTTCCAGTCCTATGTTAGGCACTGGGGATACAAAGGTGGATAACTAAGATGTTCATAGAATAGTAAGAAAAACAAACAAGTAGACAAGTGATTACAATACAGTGTGGTCTATTTAGTATGGAAGCATGAAGTTCAAGGAAACTCCTTAGGAGAGACATCTCACCCAGTATTAAGGCTTCCTGGAGTGGAAAGTGAGATGTACAAGATGCTATCCGAAGGGCAAAGATGGAGATAGGAGCATCATAGGCAGCGGTAATGGCCTGTGCAAAGCATGGAGGGAG